AGGGAGATGCCTGTAAAATGTGCGAGGCAACTGGGCTGAACTCTAGCATTGAGTGTGCAGGGCTCCCTCGACCTCTCCCTGCTTACCCTCGCGGCTTCTGCCAGGCGGGCGCCTGATCTGATCACCGCCGTGGAGGCCCCTGAAATGTGGAGGCCCCAGGCGCGCGCCTCCTGCGCCTGTGCGGAAATCCGCCGCTGCGTACTCAGCGTGTGGTCCTCAATGGAACCGCATCTACATGGAGGGAAGTGTGTAGTGGGGGTGCCCCAGGGCTCTGTTCTGGGGCCTGTGCTCTTCAACATCTTCATCAACGATTTGGACGAGGGGATAGATGGGGAACTCATCAAATTTGCAGACTACACCAAGCTGGCAGGAATAGCCAACACTCCAGAAGACAGGCTTAAGATACAGGGCAATAATAACAGAGACAACAGTGAGCTCTTTAGCAAACTAAACCAAAGAATGTGGTTTTTACAGTTTTAAATGCAACCCAAGTCCAAGAGAATGAATAGCGAACAATCATAATCAGTGACCCATTAGTGTAAGAAGCCAAGCCAAATCTATAAAAATTAAAATAGCAGCAATACTCTCTTATCTTCCATACAAGCAAACAGGAAATGCAATAAAGTCAGTTGCTCCTCCTGTTTCCTTCTTTTTTTTTCTGACTGGACTGTGTAGTCTGTTGTCCTTCTTGCATTGTATATTACACAGATTGAGAACCAACACACTTAGTAAAACTCAATTGTGTCAGTGACTGGGGGCTAGCAAACATCAGCCTTGGCTCTGTGCAGTAGAGGTCATGGAAGCAGAGTTGTAACTAACACCTGAACAATTACTAATTCCTGAACTAGCACTGATGATGTTACCTAGTTTGGGTAATGAAATACCTGCAAGAAAACAACTAAGCTCAGAGACCACCATGAACAATTATTTTTGCATATGGTAATAATCTTTACGCTTGCTTAGGGCAAATCCATACCTCTTTGACACAGTGTCCCACTAACTGTTATTTGGACTTATGCCTCCCCTTGCACTTATGTTCTCCCACTGCTGAGATTTAGTGTTTTTCCTAATATTTTGCCTCAAGATACTATGTGCAAGAAATGAAGGGTGTTTTGATTTATATTGGGGAAGAGGCTTGAAAGGGGATGCAACTTGTTCGGTTGGCTTCCCAGTTTCTTTAGTCTGATCCAGGAGTTCTTTGTCCACCCCTGCCCCATTCTTCACATGTTGGTCTTAGGATACTCGTCAGCTCCCAAGTACACTAAACTTGGGTACTTGGGAGCTGTACTCCCAAGCACAGCTAAACCCTTTCTGAAACTCCAGCTCCTCGGGTGTCTATGGAGATTCTCAGTTAGCCAAGGTCATGGTTGTCCCAAAGATGCTTTTCTTGGAGAAAGTCCAGGTGCCTTTTGGAAAAGCACCTTTAGTCCAGCTCTTCAGTAGCACTTTTCCACTGGCTGCATCTGGTTGCACAAAGCTGGTTGACCATTAGAAGGCAACCAAGCAACTCAAACATTATTTTTCTGCTCTTATTGTGTCTGTAGAGAACTGCCTTGCAGCTCTTAAAATGCTTTGCTTGGAGTGATGGATCACAGGAATGAAGATCTATAGTGCTGCTGTAAAGAATGTTCTAAGTATTAGTAGAGCTGTGTTAAGACTTCTTGGGAAATGATGTATGGTTAACAACAACAACAACAATAATAATAATAATAGTTGGAAGGGATCTTTTGAGGTCTTCTAGCCCAGCCCCCTGCTCAGGCAGGAAACCCTACACTATTTCAGACAAATGGCTGTCCAGTTTCTTCTTAAAAACTTCCAATGTTGGAGCATTCACAACTTCTGGAGGGAAGTTGTTCCACTGATTAATTGTTCTCACAGTCAGGAAATTTCTCCTTAGTTCTAGGTTGCTTCTCTCCTTGATTAGTTTCCATCTGTTGCTTCTTGTCCTGCCTTCAGGTGCTTTGGAGAATAGCTTCACTCCCTCTTCTTTGTGGCAACCCCTGAGATACTGGAACACTGCTATCATGTCACCCCTCATCCTTCTCTTCATTAAATTAGACCTACCCAATTCCAGCATGGTTGGATCCATGCAGTGGTAATCAGTTGTTTACAACTATAAAATTCAATGACTCTCAAAACTGTGTGTGGCATTTATGAAGCTTGGTTTCATACCTCTGCAACAGAATGGTGAGCTCATTTTCCATCACAACGACTGGGTTTATATGTGAGTATATACCGACAAAAACGTAGTGGAGAGCATGCAAGATTAGGTAAGGTAAATCCACAACCAGTCAGGAAATGATCCAATCCTACTTGACAGACAAATGTACATTAGACCTTAATATTCTATGGCATGGAGCAGTAATAGATTTAAAATCAGTTTTTGATTCTATATCAAGAGACAGTCTATGGAATAATTTGTAGGACACTACTAATGACAGAAGAACCCTTTTATTAATTTTAGTCTCCACAATCTACTAGAACAACTAACAGATTCAATGTCCCTATTTTTATTTAATTTAATTTATTTATTTATTTTTATCCCAATTTTATTATTTTTAGAAATAACTCAAGGCAATAAACATATCCAACATACCTTCCTCCTTCTATTTTCCTCACAACCACAAAAACAACCCTGTGAGGTAGGTTGGTCCAAAAGAGAGTGACTGGCCCAAAGTCACCCAACTGTCTTTCATGGCTAAGGCAGAACTTGAACTCCGAGTCTCCCACATTCTAGCCTGGTGTCTTAACCATTAGGCCAGATTGGCTATCTATGGTACCATGGTGTTTAACCAACCTATATTCATGCTCAAAAGCTTTCCAAATTTTATATAAAGTTGATGGCAGATTAACACTTGGTAGAGCAGCCAGGAAAGATATCCGAACGCTGGGATGGTTTCATACCTACGATGATCAGAACTGTGCAAACCATGATATTCTCTGTGATGCTCTGTGGAAGTAATAATAATGATGATAAAGTTGGAAGGGACCTTGGAGGTCATCTAGTTCAACCTCCTGCTCAGGCAGGAAACCCTATACCATTTCGGACAAATGGTTGTCCAGTTTCTTCTTAAAAACTTCTAGTGTTGGTGCATTCACCACTTCTGGAGGCAGGTTGTTCCACTGGTTAATTGTTCTAACTGTCAGGAAGTTTCTCCTTAGTTCTAGGTTGCTTCTCTCCTTGATTAGGTTCCATCCATTGCTTCTTGTCCTGCCTTTTGGCACTTTGGAGAATGGCTTGACTCCCTCTTCTTTGTGACAACCCCTGAGATATTGGAACACTGCTATCATGTCCCCCCTCGTCCTTCTCTTCATTAAACTAGACATACCCAATTCCAGCAACCGTTCCTTATATGTTTTAGCCTCCAGTCCCCTAATCATCTTTGTTTCTCTTCTCTGTACTCTTTCTAGAGTCTCAACATCTTTTTTACATCATGGTGACCAAAACTGGATGCAGTATTCCAAGTGTGGCCTTACCAAGGCATTTTAAAGTGGTATTAATAGTTCACGTGATCTTGATTCTGTCCTTCTGTTAATGCAGCCTAGCACTGTGTTGGCTTTTAAGCTGGAAAGAATATTGATGGTTTTGAACTTTCATGTTGGAGAATACTCCTAAGAACAGTATGGACATCAAGGAAAACAAACAAATTATGAGCCAGCATTGTGTAGTAGCAGCCAAAAAAACTAATATAATCCTGGGTTGTATAAACAGAGGCATAGAATCAAGATCACGTGAAGTATTAGTACGACTTTATAAAACCCTAATGAGACCATACCGGGAATACTGCAACCAATTCTGGTCACCATACTACAAAAAAGATGTTGAGACCTTGGAAAAAGTTCAGAGAAGAGCAACTAAGATGATCAAAGGCCTGGAGATTAAAACATATAAAGAACGGCTGCAGGACTTGGGTTTGGCTAGCCTAAAAAAAGAAATAAGGGTGACATGATAGCAGTATTCCAGTATTTGAGGGGCTGCCACAAAGAAGAGGGTGTCAAACTATTCTCCAAAGCATCAGAGGGCAAGACAAGAAACAATGGTTGGAAACTGACCAAAGAGACATGGAATCAAGGAGAAACTTCCTAACAGTGAGGACAATTAACCAGTGGAATAGCTTGCCTCCAGAAATCGTGGGCGCTCCATCACTGGAGATTTTTAAGAAGAGACTAGACCAGCAGTGTTAAACTGCTGGCCCGCGGGTCGGATGTGTCATTCTGAAACTACGCCCACACTAGCAATGGGGAAAAAGTCGCGATACGTCGCAACACATCACGTGACATTGTGAGTTTGACACCCCTGGACTAGACAGTCATTTGTCTGAAATAGTATAGGTTCGCCTGCTTGAGAGGAGACTGGACTAGAAGACCTCCAAGGTCCCTTCCAGCTCTATTCTATTCTATTCTATTCTATTCTATTCTATTCTATTCTATTCTATTCTATTCTATTCTATTCTATTCTAAATTGAGCATTAAACAAATCAACCCAGCTTAAATTATGTAACAGCGGTTCCATTATGTGAAGATCTAGGCCCTAGAGAAGGCTCTAATGTTGGAAAAGTTTGAAGGAAAGAGAAGAGGACAAGCTGTAGCAAGCTGGGAGGAAAATAAAGTCATCATCAATGCAATTATGCCAAAATGCAGTTATGCAGCATGACAATTGGAAGAGGCCCTTCATATCCTCTATGCTATTTGTCAAGTCCAGAATTTTAATTGAAGGAATACCAATCACAGACCTTTGCAGGTTGAAGGTAAAAGCTGTATGGACATCAGCAGAGCCCTGATTTATTCCAGATGTGTAATAAGAGTGGGCACCATATTTACAATGGCATGGCTTCCTGCCACCTCCAGGATGGGAAGGGTGTATAGCAAACTCCTAGGTGGATAGGGTCTTAGTAACTTAGGCGCTTGTTTGAAAAGTTGTTTTGCAAGTAGCCATTCATGATCTCTATCTGAAAAATTGATGTATTTTATTGACTTTATATAAAAATAAAGAAATTGCCTTGAGATTCCAGTTGTCCCTGAGTTCTCATTACAGGTTCTCAGTATTAACAGGGGAAGCTGAATTAACGATATGTATTTTCATTTTTAGGGCAGCCATTTGATCCTTCATTGCCATTGATCAATTCAGTCTCCAATGTGATATGTGCTTTTAGCTTTGGCTACCAGTTTGCACATGAAGATAAAACCTTCCTGAAGTTGATTGAAGACATAAGGACTGTTGTAAGAATAACAGGTGGTGTTTTTCATCTGGTGAGTGACCTTTTATATTAAAGCAGGCATGTCAAACTGCCGGCTGGATGTGTCACGCCGAAACCACACCCACCCCATTGCCGGCAATGGGGGGAAAAGTCACAACACATCGTGCGAAGTCACGTGACGTCGTGAGTTTGACATGCCTGGACTAAAGCAACCAGATCTCTAACTTGCCTAGAATCACCTCTGGCAAGATGGACAGCATGCAAGTTTAATAAATAAATGCTTATTGATGATTGTGATAGGACTGGGATGGAGGTGGTGCACCCATTATGGGCCCCATGGATCTCTTGGCGGCCTTCAGTACTGTCTATCATGAGTCATGTCTCAAATTGACTGGTGATACAAATCCTTCAAGTAAATAAGTAACCCTTTTTCTGAAAGTGCATTATACTTGATAGAGCAGCTATAGAGGCCAATGTCATGTGTCTGATTATTTATCTTTACTTCTACCTTCTCTTTCTTCACACTAACTCTTATGCCGAGGGAAAAATCCTTATTCTAACTATTCGTAATAATATGAAGTGATGGGGTTTTGTTTTTGCTTTTTTAGATATATGAATCAATCCCGTGGTTGATGAAATATCTTCCAGGGCCTCACCAGAAGGCTCTGGACTCTACAGAGATTATCCTTTCATTTGCAAGGCAGGAAATAGAAAGGCACAAACGATATCAGTGTCTGCATGAGCCACAGGATTTCACTGATTTCTATCTACTACAAATGGAAAAGGTATTTGGCCCTTTTACATATACATTTATTTTTTATTTATCATGCCAACTTGTGCCACTCATTTTTCATTAGAATCCATGACATGATGGGATATGTATTTGGAAGTTTGTATTCATGGGAGGAAAGCTATGGCAAATCTAGACAGCATACTAAAAAGCAGAGACATCACCCTGCCAACAAAAGTACGTATAGTCAAGGCCATGGTTTTCCCAGTTGCAACATATGGCTGTGAAAGTTGGACCATAAGAAAGGCTGAGTGCCAAAGAATGGAGGCCTTTGAACTCTGGTGCTGGAGAAGATTCCTGCGAGTCCCCTGGACTGCAAGGCGATCAAACCAGTCAGTCCTAGAGGAGATCAACCCTGACTGCTCTCTAGAAGGCCAGATCCTGAAGTTGAAACTCAAATACTTTGGCCACCTAATGAGAAGGAAGGACTCACTGGAGAAGAGCCTAATGCTGGGAAAGATGGAGGGCAAGAGAAGAAGGGGACGACAGATAATGAGGTGGCTGGATGGAGTCACTGAAGCAGTAGGCATGAGTTTAAATGGACTCCAGAAGATGGTAGAGGACAGGAAGGCCTGGAGGAACATTGTCCATGGGGTTGCGATGGGTCGGACACAACTTCGCAACTAACAACAACAATTCATGGAATACATTCAGAATTTTCTTATTATTTGGAGACTGCAGATTATTGCTGATGACTGGTGAAGGCTGTGGTTTATTAGACAGTACATAATGGAATTGCTCTCCTCCATGTAGTCCTCAACAATTTAATGACCGTCCAAAGTTACAATGGCACTGGAAAAAAAATGACTTATGACTGTTTTTCACACTTACAACCTTTGCAGCTTCCCCATGGTCACATGATCAAAATTCGGACACTTGGCACCTGGCATATCTTTATGACAGTTGCGGTGTCCCATGGTTATGTGATCACTTTTGCGACCTTCTTACAAGCAAAGTCAATGGGAAAGCCTGATTCATGTTACTAACAACTGCAGTGATTCATTTAACAACTGTGGCAAGAAAGGTCATAAAGTGGGGCAAAATTCACTTAACAAATGTTTTGCTTCACAACCAAAATTTTCAGCTCAGTTGTGGCCTTAAGTCGACTAACCATAGTGGGAGACATACAACTGCAGATAAAGAGATACACTCATATCTGGAGGCTAAAGCGTATAAGGAACGGCTGCTGGAAGGGACCTTGAAGGTCATCTAGTCCAACCCCCTGCTCAGGCAGGAAACCCTATATCATTTCGGACAAATGGCTGTCCAGTCTCTTCTTAAAAACTTCCAGTGTTGGAGCATTCACCGCTTCTGGAGGCAGGTTGTTCCACTGGTTAATTGTTCTCACTGTCAGGAAGTTTCTCCTTAGTTCTAGGTTGCTTCTCTCCTTGATTAGTTTCCATCCATTGCTTCTTGTCCTGCCTCCAGGCGCTTTGGAAAATAGCTTGACTCCCTCTTCTTTATGGCAGCCCCTGAGATATTGGAACACTGCTATCATGTCCCCCCTCGTCCTTCTCTTCATTAAAGATTCATTAAAGATTATTCATTAAAGATTATAAAATCTTCTAACTGCTGATGTGCATTTCTGTAGTTCTTGCTCCTTGCTCTGCGCTCCTAGATTTGACATTTGAACTGGTCCATGAAATTCTCCAGTGCTGAAATCGTGGATTGTTACAGTTAATTTTTATGGCACTCTCTTTGCATTTTCACATTCTTATAGACATTACAAGGGAACGTATGGACTCTTTGTTTTCTTTTAAGTCTTAAGTGCTGTCTGGCTAATTACTCATTCAATTTCTTGTTGTGACCAGAAAGTTTTACAGTATGGCAATAAAGTCTCACACCGTTTATTCGCAAGGGTTGAATGAAAATTAATGCTTGAATTGTTATAAGTCAACAATAGATTGTCGTATTCCTCTGCTAGAAGCTCTGGTGTGTTCTCTAGCATTTGTCCTTTCATTTCAGCCAATCAGTCATTTCTATGAGAAAAGGTTGTGTTCTATTTTTGTGAAATGGAAGCCCCTGGTGAGTACTTACCAGTGCACTAAGCAATGCACCAAGACTGAACTTTTGACTGCCAAAGGAGTCCCTCTATTGAAAACGCAAGTCCTTTATGATAATCACTGCACTGATAATAGCACTGTGCATTGCTGGGCCAAACAATGTAAATATGGTGAGGAGCTGCATATGTGAACACATAGATCAGATATGTCAAACACAAGGCCCGGGGGCTGGATGCGGCCCACGAAGTGGTTTCATGGGGCCCGTGAAGCCATCCTGGAAACAATGAGGGAACGGCCCCCGCTGTCTTGGCCTTGGCCCAGGCTGGCCGGGAGCCAATGTACAATTTTGTGGTGGCCATCTATGCTGAAACGCATTCAGTCTTAGCTCCACAAGGCTGTTTGGATACAGTAAGGAACCAACCCCTGCCGTGTCAGCCCCATCCCCTGGGTGCATGCTGGGGAGGTGTCACCCTTTGTGAGGAATGAAGAAATGGACCATCGTCTGGAAGTGCCTCGCCTACTTCACATATCTGGCTTGATGGGCTCTGGGGGAGGGGTTTCGGCAGCACAGCAGCAGCAGCCTTGAGGAGGAGGTGGGTGCAGCTGGGTGCCCCCTGGGGGAAGTGGGGCTGGGCTTGGTGCCGCGGGTGCTCGAGGGCCAGGCTGGGTGTTTGACCTCTGCTGCCCAGGGCTCCGGGCAGCCCGCACCACCATCCAGTCCCCCCCGCATGGCCTGAGAGGAATAGTGAGGCTCCTCCAGTGGACCATGCCTTGCCACTTGCCCTGGTCCCATCCCCTTCTGCCAGAGACCCTCAGATCTGTCCAACTCCTGCCCAGGCCCCCACAGGCACCCTTGACGCGAACGATGTAGAGCTGGCCATGCCCACCCAGTAGGCCACACCCACTCCATCCACGCCCACCCAGTAGGCCACACCCACCATGGCCACACACACCCCAGCCCCCCCCAAGGGCAACCACAATGCTGATGCGGCCCTCAATGAAATTGAGTTTGACACCCCTGACATAGATAAACATGGAGCACTTTTAGATAAGCACTTTAGATGGCAGGAATGGGTTAGAGGTAGTGCATTTTTGGGACTGTTCTTGACCTCTTGGTGGTCTTCAGTACCATCAAACAATGTTATGCTTTTGGTTGGCTTTGGGAGATGGGGGTTGAGGACATGGTTTTGTGCTGGTTCACCTCCTTCAACTGAGGCCAGTCCCAAATGTTGTTGATAGGGAGCAAGCAGTCTGTCCCAATTTGTGGGGGTGCCAAAGGGCTCAGTGCTGTCTCCACTCCTTTTTAACCTGTACGTGAAGCCATTGAGTGAGATCTTCCATCACTATGGGATGAGGTATCATCGGTATGCAGATGATACCCAGTTGCACATCTTTGTCCCTGTGGATGCCCTTTGGCAATGTTTGGAGACTGAGAAGGTCTGGATGGAAAAAAACAGGCTTCAAGAAGGTACGGGCCCGTTTGGCATCTGGAGGTTACCATTTTTGATCTTGGATGGGATTGCACTGCCTCAGACAGATTCAATGAATAAACTGGGGGTCCTTCTGGATTCACAACTCCTACTGATAGTGATAGTTGTGGCTTTGCTCAACTTCATGATGTGCTCCAGTTGCACCCTTTCCTGGATTTAGAGGCCATTCTTTCTGACACTTATGCCCTAGTCGCCTCTTGAATAGACTACTGCAATGCACTTTACACTGGGCTATCCTTGAAGAGTATCCTGAAACTCCAGTTGGTGCAGAATGCAGTGCCGTGCAGTTTTGGGCATCTCTGGCATTGTATATGTAATACCTCTGTTATGTGAGCTGCATTGGTTATTATTATTATTATTATTATTATTATTATTATTATTATTATTATTATTATTATTATTATTATTAATTGAATTTATATACTGCCCTATCTTCCTTACGGGACTCAGGGCGGTGAACAGGCGATAATAAAAACCACAATAAATATACACAAATTTCTGTCTAAAATCAAATTAAATAACAGGCCTGCTCTAAAAATACCCCATATAAAACCCCCACTAAAACATAATCAAACTACGCCAGGCCGGCCGCACGGAATAGATGAGCCTTCAGGGCTCGGCGAAAAAGGCGCAGGTCCGCAACTGTACGTAGGTCGGGGGGTAGGTCATTCCAGAGGGCAGGAGCTGCCACAGAGAAGGTTCTCCCCCTGGGGGTCGCCAGCCGGCATTGTCTGGCCGACGGCACCCTAAGGAGGCCCTCTCTGTGGGAGCGGACTGGTCGAAGGGAGGTGTTTGGTAGGAGGCNCCGCATTCTGAACTAGCTGGAGCCTCCGGGTGCACCTCAAGGGGAGCCCCATGTAGAGAGCGTTGCAATAGTCCAGGCGGGAAACAACGAGGGCTTGAGTGACCGTGCGTAGAGCGTCACGATCCAGAAAGGGGCGCAACTGGCGTATCAGGCGAACCTGATGAAAAGCCCCCCTGGCCACGGCTGTCACATGATCGTCGAAGGGTTACCAGGCTGCTTCCAGGTCCATTTAAGGTATTGATTATTACTTTTAAAGCCCTTCATGGCAGGACAACAAGTCTCGTCCATATTTCATTGACCCATCCCACCCAGTCAAGCATGGAGGGTATGTTACAGACCCCATTGGTTGCAGAATTCTGACTGGCAGAGACTATACAAACAGCCTTCTCTGCCATTGCTTCCACACTGTGGAACATCTTGTCCCAAGAGGTGAGGTAAGGCCCCACTCTTTTGGCTTTACAGAAAAGTTTCATCACCTGGTTCTGCCAAATAGCATGGGGGTCTAAGTGTGGTATGCTTCGGGATGGGGGTGGGCACTCCTTCTGCCTCTTTTATCTTTTAATTCTTAACTTTTTTTAAATCCATTTTTTAAAACTCTGTTTTAACCTTGTTTTTAATTATGGTTTTTATGGTTTTATTGCAAACCACTCACTTAGGTGAGATGGGCAAGATAGATAGATAGATAGATAGATAGATAGATAGATAGACAGACAGACAGACAGACAGACAGACAGACAGACAGACAGACAGACAGACAGACAGACAGACAGACAGACAGACAGACAGACAGATAATTTGTGGCTAATAACATTAAACATATTGAAGGAAGCCTAGAATTTATTGTAAGTTAAATTTCTCATTTTAAACACAGAGCAAGGATGATCCCAACTCTGTCTGCAGTGAAGAGAACCTGGCTTGCTGTCTGCTTGAATTGTTTATTGCTGGAATAGAAACAACCTATGTCAGCCTGATGTGGGCAGTGCTCCTCTTGGCAAACCATCCCGACATCCAAGGTGAGACAACTCTAGGCAGTGGGAACAAGTGACCAGTCTCAGTGTGGAAAATACCCAGGAATTGTTGGACATCTCAGTAACTGCTGAATGATAAACTTAATCTTCACAATAATATTCTATGAACGTTTGGAACCTATAATGAAGATAGATAGTTTTGCAAATTAAAAGAAACCAGATTGTATAAATATAAAGAGTTTTTTAAAAAATATTTTACAACATTGCTGTAGTAATTGTATACAGGTAGTCCTCGACTTATGAATACAATTGAGCCCAAAATTTGTGTTGTTAAATGAGACATTTGCTAGGTAAATTTTTCCCCATTTTACAACATTTCTTGCCACAGTTGTTAAATGAATCACTGAAGTTAAGTTAGTAGTCCAGCAGTGTTTCTCAACCTTGACAATTTTAAGGCATGTGGACTTCAACTCCCAGAATTCCATAGCCAGCAATGAGTTGAAGTCCACATGCCTTAAAATTGTCAAGGTTGAGAAACACTGAGTTAAGTGAATCTGGCTTCCTCGTTGATTTTGCATGTCAGAAGATCGCATGACCCTGGGACACAGCAACTGTCAGAAATATAAACCAGTTGCCAAGGATCCCAATTTTGATCACATGACCAAGGGGATGCTGCAAAGGTTCTAACTGTGAAAAATGGTCATAAGTCACTTTATTCAGTGCTGAGGTAACTTTGAATAGTCACTAAATGAACTTTGTAAATCGAGGACTACCTATATTAATAATTTTATATAGTAGTATGGCTTGACTAAATTTTCAGTATATTGAATAATAGGTTTTCACACATTCTGCCATTGCTGTTGTTGTTGTTGTTGTTGTTAGTTGCGAAGTTGTGTCCGACCCATTGCGACCCCATGGACAACGTTCCTCCAGGCCTTCCTGTCCTCTACCATCTTCTGGAGTCCATTTAAGCTCACGCCTACTGCTTCAGTGACTCCATCCAGCCACCTCATTCTCTGTCATCCCATTCTTCTATTGCCCTCAATCTTTTCCAGCATTAGGCTCTTCTCCAGTGAGTCCTTCTTTCTCATAAGGTGGCCAAAGTATTTGAGTTTCAACTTCAGGATCTGGCCTTCTGAAGAGTAGTCGGGGTTGATCTCCTCTAGGACTGACCGGTTTGATCGCCTTGCAGTCCAGGGGACTCGCAGGAGTCTTCTCCAGCACGATAGTTCAAAGGTCTCCATTCTTTGGCGCTCAGCCTTTCTTATGGTCCAACTTTCACAGCCATACATTGCAACTGGGAAAACCATGGCCTTGACTATACGTACTTTTGTTGGCAGGGTGATGTCTCTGCTTTTTAGTACGCTGTCTAGATTTGCCATAGCTTTCCTCCCCAGGAGCAAGTGTCTTTTAATTTCATGACTGCAATCCCCATCTGTGGTGATTTTGGAGCCCAGGAAGATAAAATCTGTCACTACCTCCATTTCTTCCCCATCTATTTGCCAGGAATTGAGAGGTCCGGATGCCATGATCTTGGTTTTCTTAATGTTGAGTTTCAAGCCAACTTTTGCACTCTCCTTCTTCACCCGCATCAAGAGGCTCTTTATTTCCTCTTCACTTTCTGCCATTAGATGGTATCATCTGCCATTATAGAATCAAAACTGCACCTCATTCTGAAAATGATGGAAGGAACATTATTATAGCAGTTTCTCTAAGCCTACTCTACCTCCTGAAGTATTTATTCATAAATAAACTGATAATAAATAATTTAACAAAAATAAATGTCTATAAGAGATTATTCAACCAGAAAAGGCATCATTCAAAATGTATTGCCTTTTTCTCACTCTCTCTCCAGAAAAAGTCCACAAGGAGATTGAAGATGTCTTTGGTTCCTCAGGATCAATCTCCTATGAAGATCGGCACAAGCTGCCCTACACCAATGCAGTGATACATGAAACCCAACGAGCAAAATATATTTTATTTATAACAATTCCCAGACAAAGCATAAGAGATGTGACAATGCGAGGTTTCCACATTCCAAAGGTAGAGAAAGGAGAAGCCCAACATGGCAGTTGCAGAAATATGTTTGCTCAAGAATTGCAGCCAAAACGATATGGGCAAAAATAACTGAAATATGGTTTTCATTGAATGAAACTGACAAATCTGAACCATTTCAAAAGTAAAATCTTAAATATAGTACAGAAAAAAAATCAAAGAGATTAAGGGCTGAACCTAAGAGAGCTATGGTCATCCATGGTCTATTGGCTATTCCTCCCTTTGTCATGTCTCCTCATTTGTTGTATATTATTAGTATTATTAGTATTGGTATAGTATCATCTACTTATTCTGCTGCCACCATAAATTGCCACCAGGTGGCCAACCAATAGGTTCTTTAGGTTTCAGAAATAACAGGCTGAAATGAGACTAAAATGCCAAAAAGTATTTGAAGGAGTAAATATTAAGAGACTCACAGAGATATACTACTCCACATCTCTACAGCTTGCCAATAGCCACAAGAATGGCAGGAGATGGACCTCTCTTGACTTGGGAGCTGCAAAGCACCTTTCTAGGACTTTGGGTCTATGCCAAACTTTCAAGTGGCTGTGAGTTTTTGCCACTTCCTAATACTTTTCTTCAGAGACAAGGAGTTATTATTATTATTATTATTATTATTATTATTATTATTATTATTATTATTATTATTATTATTTATTAAATTTATATCCCGCCCTTCTCCTTGCGGACTCAGGGCGGCTTAAAACAATAACACCTGGAAATGGCTTGGTAGTATTATTATTATTATTATTATTATTATTATTATTATTATTATTATTATTATTATTATTATTATTATTATTATTATTATTATTTATTAAATTTATATCCTGCCCTTCTCCTTGCGGACTCAGGGCGGCTTAAAACAATAACACCTGGAAATGGCTTGGTAGCACAAATCGTCATGATTTGATCACGATGCAAGCTCACTGAATGCCAGGAATATTGTTTTAAAAAAGAGACGTCCTTAGCAGCCAATATCTGTGGATGGTCTGATGACATATCTGGTCAATAATTTGGAAACCCCACAAGTGATTGTTTGCTAAGAATATTACTGGAGGGGGAGATGGTTTTTTGTGTACAGCTACTGCTCTCTCTCCTTAGATTAGGGGGTACTTGCTGTCCTCTTTATTTTGATGATTTGTGTGCATGGCAACTGGCTCACAATTAGTGTCTTGCAATCACATAATTGCATTTGCAACCTTCTTTGTCAGCCTTCCACAAGCAAAGTAGAACCTGATTTATTTATTTATTTTTGCCATGGATACTCCATATGTATCTCTCCTGGGTATTCCACCTCTTCCCATTTCACTGTCATGTGTGGTATGGAAACCAAATTTCCCCATTGTTAGTTTAACAGCTTTGATCACTATGCCATATGGGTCTCTCTGTCCTTCCAACTACACCTCCATAATTCCCCTGCTCCAGTTCCTTCCTCCTGCAGGAATATAGCTTGGGAGGACGTGTCCTGCATTGCCATCTTTGATTGACAGATCCATCACACCTTTATCACACCCTAGTAGGGAAGAGTAACAAATTTCCTTTCTGTTCTGTTGTTATTGAAGGGGAGCATTATTATGGCTGATTTACGCTCTGTTCTTCTGGATCCTGAGGAATGGGAGACACCTGAAGAATTCAACCCAAATCACTTTTTAAACAAAGATGGGAAATTTCAGGCTAGAGAAGCATTTATGCCATTTGGAGCAGGTAAATAGAATTATTCAAGGCAGTTTGTGATTAATAGGCAATTTGTAATGTTTTTCAGGAAATTTAAAACCATTATTTTCCTTTTCACTGACTGCCTGAACCTGAAACTATTGTCTCATCTTAATCTCTATATATTCTAGTTTGAGATGTGATTGGAGTTTCTATTAGTTTTACGTTATGGACATGTGAATAGCTTATTGCAGAGAATGAGATTATCTGGACAATACCTGTACCAGGTGAAATCATTGTGGCCAGAATCTAGAGCAAAGTTGATCTGTTCCAACTGGAATCCAAAAACTGTGGTTGCCTGGTCTGAAAAAGACTTCTGGGGTGTGTTATTCCAGTGTATTTGCTCTAATTTGACCAATGTAACCTTAACTTGTGATTCGGGATGCTAAATGTTAATATCTTTTGAATTCATTTGTCTAGGCCAGTTCAACAGCAGAAACTGCTATATTATCCTAGTAGATTGGATTGCACTGGTGCTTTTGTGGGGCATAAGTGGTGACCTGGTAAACTACCTGATTGTCTGAGTGCCACTGATGCACTCTGATCCTAGAAAGAGTGCAGAGAAGAGCAACAAAGATGATAAAGGGTCTGGAGGCTAAATCACATGATGAATGGTTAAGACAACTGGGAATGTCTAGCCCAGTGTTTCCCAACCTCAGACATTTTAAGATATGTAGACTTCAACTCCCAGAATTTGCCAGCCAGCCATGCTGACTGGGGAACTCTGGGAATTGAAGTCCACATCCCTTAAAGTTGCCAAAGTTGGGAAACACTGGTCTAGCATAATGAAGAGAAGGATTAGGGGTACCATGTTGGCTGTCTTCTGGTTTTTGAGGGACTGCCACAGAGAAACACCTGAGAGTAGGACAAGAAGCAATAAATGGAAGCTCGTTGAAGAGAGATCCAACCTGGAACTAAGGAGAAATTTCCTGACAATGAAACCAATTAACCAGGGGAACAGCTTGCCTCCTGGAGTTGTGGGCCTCACTGGAGGTTTTCAAGAAAAGATTGGACAACCATTTGTCCAGGATGGTATAAAGTCTTCCATTCTATAAGGTGATTGGATTAGAAGTGCTCCAATGTCCTTTCAGCCAGTGGTGGGATTCAGCCAGTTCGCACCACTTCGGCAGAACCAGTAGCTAATTTTTTGTTGCCCAGGCCCAGAATGGACTTCTGGAAGCGGCATCCACACAGAAAACCGGTTGGTCACCTATTTGAATCCCACCACTGCCTTTAGCCCATGATTTTATGATTCCTTGCTTCTTAAAACAGGCCCTTTTTCATTTGAAAGGAAACTTTCTCACCACTCCAAAAACCCCTTTCCCTACAAATAATTAATTTTCCCCCTTACATTTGTGTCTGCTTTGTTTGTGACTTCAGTGTCATAAAGAAAATCTTAGTTTAGGACTTGATGATGAGAAGGTCAGCAGAAAAAGCAGGTGCCCCTTCCTGAATCTGAATGTATGACAAATGTTGGAAGGGCTGACTTAGTGAGACCAGCAAATTGACATCTTCCCATAGTCTATGAACCTAAGAACAACATGAGATGGAAATATGCAATATCATAACTCAAGACCAAATAGCTTGTGTTGCTGACACACAGGGAGCCATTGTCTCTCAAGAAAAGCAACATACCAGCATATTTTATGACCAGGTCCCTCACAGCCCACCTCTACTAGCTAATATTGCCTTCCTTTCAGTAGCAGGACTGAATGAGGATTACTTTATGTAGCAATTCAGTGGAAGCTCAGGAGAATCAGTAGACCAGCACATCTCTTTCATATTGCATCTCTCTTAAACTGCCTAGAATCATACAATCATAGAAATAAATGATTGGAAAAGACTTTGGAGTCTTCAAGTCCAACACCATGTCCAGAAATGGGATCCTGAGATGATCCAACTCAAAATGCTACCCAATCTTTTCTTGAAAACTGATGGATTATCCATGACTCCAGGCAGCAGCTGTTTAACTGTTAAATAGCTCTCGGAATCCAGAAATTATTCCTTATTTTTAACTTGGATCTTTTTATGTAAAACTTCCACCAGGGTTCTTGTCCAACCCTAAGGAATTCTGAAGAATCCACATCCTGGACAGCCCTTCAAATATTAGATGATTGCTAATGGAATGATGTCTCTTCCACAGGGCAGCGTGTCTGCTTAGGAGAAAAGTTGTCAAGAATTGAGTTGTTCATCATCCTAACCAGCCTGCTGGGGACTTTCAGTTTCCAGCTGCCCGAAGGAGTGAAAAAGCTCAATGAGAAACCTATAGTACGTGTGGGACTATCTCCACATCCTTATAAAATCTGTGCTGTACCATATCATACAATGTCATAAAATCCATTAATTGAGTATTAGTATCTTTCCTTTTAAATTTTTTACTTTATCTTTTCCCCTTAATATTTGTGCCCTGTCTTGAAATTCATTCATGTTATTGTATCCTAAAACCGCTGTATCCTAATGGCTGCTTGCATACAATCCACTAAGCTTCTTCAGGTTTGCCATTGGGTTATGTTTTCTGTAGACATAAATATCCTGCACTGGCTGCCGGTGGCCTTCCGGGTGCTGCACTGGCTGCCGGTGGCCTTCCGGGTGCGCTTCAAGGTGTTGGTTACCACGTTTAAAGCGCTCCATGGCATCGGACCTGGGTATCTTCGAGACCGTCTTCTGCCGCAGATTGCCTCCCATCGACCGGTACGCTCCCACAGAGCGGGCCTCCTCAGGGTGCCGTCGGCCAAACAGTGTCGGCTGGCGACCCCCAGG